GAAAGCAAAGGAAATCACAATGCAGTCACACTGAAGGCAATAAAATATAACGAAAAAAATCTTGAGCAACTATGCAGATGCAGGTGGAAGGGACAAAGAAGTGAAAAAAAAATATGAAAGATAAATTACATGGAAGGCAGAAAACCGAAATCATACCCAAAAAATTGCAGCTGTCACTAAGGAAGCAACCAGTGGGGAGAGGAGATTTCTTGAGGTGAATCTAAAAGGGATTGTTTTAGCCCAGATAAATCCAGCTCTAGCTAGCATTTACAGAATTTCTACCACTGTTTTAGATTGCCTTCAATCAGAGTTACCACACACTAGACAAAATTATGTGCAAAGAAAATTAAGCCAAGATCTTACTAGTGATTAAGTCTAGCAAATTTGATAATAGTTGTTTTTATTTTATTGCCATTAATATTCTAAAAGAAGTATAAACTTTTATAATAAAAATAACTTTTAAAATAATTAACAATTATTTCAAAAGACTGAAAAAATATACATAATCTTAATTCCTTAACATATTAACTGGTTTCATTTCCCCCTTTTCTATTCACAAAGCCATTAATACCTACAGTTGATTCAGTTTCTCTGGAAATAATTCATAATTACATAAAAATAATAAAAGCATCTTGCTGTGTCTTGCCCCATGATTTTTCATATTCTTGTCCACCTGAAAATCATATTAGCTTAGTGTAAATTGTTTCCTTATATTCAGAATTTAATATTTCCTTTTTACATAGCAAAGGATACCTGTAAAATCCTGGCAGAGAAATGAAGCACATTGGAAGAATTATTGCTTACTAATGACAAAAAACTGCAGGTGAAACCTCAGCATGTCTATGTCTTCTGCACCTTAACTTGGTCCGACCCCCACCTCTTTGATATCTTTCAACACTGAGCTCACTTTTGATCTTTCAGGAATCCTTGAACATTCTTTTTTTGGTACCCTGTCCCTTACATTCAAAATCTCATATTACTACTATCAACATGTATGCCTATTATCCCCTCTAGTGCAAACTCTTAAGACACAAGTACATAGTAATAAACATTCAATAAATATCAGTTGTTGAAATTAATTTTATCCTTTCCACTACTCTAAACATTCACTCCCTGAAGAGCTAAAGGGGTGGAGATCTATGTATTTGAAACCTTTGTTTACTAGGGTTTCAATAGTACTCAATAGGATAGCAATATTAATCAGTCCAGAAGATCTCAGTCTAACTAGCACATTCTCCACTTTTCATTCTCTATTCAGATCTCATGCTCATGGCTTCTTACCTTGAACTCAAATTTTGCACAACTTCTTCCCTTATGGTTGTTATAAAAGAGAGCAAGCTCAAATTATTAAGTAAATACATTTTTATTTGTATTTAGACTCAAGGTAATTACCTAGAAGATTTTTTTCCCCCATTTTTAAGGTTGACTATGCCTTCCTGTAATACCTCTTGACACTAATTCTGCGGCTGTGACCAGGGAAACGTGGATACGTGGTGTCTACCATGTGTCAGTTGTGCTATGTAAATTCATTAATTGTCCAAAACAAATACCTCTTTGCTTCATTTATTATTATTTATATGTGAGGAAACCAACATCAGCTAATTTAGGTAAACTTACTCATGTCATAAAAGTGGTAATATTATATATCATATCTAAAGTTTAAAACTAGGACATTCTTGCATCACTGAATGTGCTCTGATACACACTTCTCCACTCTCCTCCAAAGAGAAAGAATTGATACAGTTTTTCCTACATTGTAGCATTCGGGTAACTGACAGTCTGTCATGCAAGGCTAAATTTTTCATTTTGTCCTTCTAGGTAAACCTTAGACTTTCTCAGAATGTAGCTTCCTAAGCCATCATCCTCCCAATTTTCACTTGTAACCCTCTTAATTCAATAATTTTCTTATTTTCCTCTTTTTTTTTAGCCCCTGAAAGTAATGATAATAATCTGACTGATACTTGGCCCATGCAAAATTTAGTGAAATGATTTCTTCTTGCTTTTGGTAGCATTTTAAGCAATGGCATGAGTTTTTAACGTATAGTAAAATTACAGTAAAGAATCACTGCATTCACCTTCCTTCAAATTGATTCTACATTAGTTGTTGTCAAGTCCCACCTCCTGGGTACTCTTTATTCTCTTCTTAGAAAATGCAATTTTAAGGTTGATGTAAGATTCTACTTTTAACACTGTTGCATTTTATTTTACTGATTGCATACAGCTCCGCTTTTAGCCCGTTAGAATGGTTTTGACTCAATTCTGTTGGTGTATTAATTCTCTACACCCACTCTTGCTCGCTGTTGAAATCTACAACTGCCATTCAAACAAATACTTCCACTAGAGTCAGTGTATTCATTCACATTTATTAAACTCCCAATCTACTACAAGAGAAAAAAGCAATCAAGTAATACATTCCAGCTCCCTGATTTCTTTATCAGAATGTCTCAAAAAATGGTAATTTAGATGAGAACTCTCAGTAAGCATAGCAACTACAAGGTTGTAACATCAAAACTACTCACAAAAGAAAATAAAAGTACACAAATGTTTCTCCAACCAACTGACATTTCATAAATGGCAAAAAAAAACCTTAAATTATTGAGTAAGATGAATTTACAGGATCAAAGTTTGACAGATTTATCACCAAGATTCCAGGCTACTTCTTTTCAAATACTCTCATTCTCTTAACTTCTGCTGGTGAGATGTCTTACCTTTAACAAATGTATTCAGTAAACTTCAATTGTACTTCTGTATGTGGAGTGTATTACTATAAAATTTGGCCTGCAGACCTGATAAATATGAAAATGGAAGCTTCTGAACTTTTATATGATACCCAGTAACTTCATAGTCATTAGTTTTGACTAAAAATTAAAGATGAGGACACTTCCAGGTGTTGGTTCCCGGTTTATAAATATAAGAAGTGCGTTCCCCTGTTTTGAAGGTCTGTTTAATTCTAGATCAGTGCCATTATTCAGCTATGATCATCTAATGTACTGTTATTTGGCAGGTCCTCAACATTTCTTCATCCAACTTGTTGAGTAATCACACTGGATTTCATTAGCGTGATCAAGTACCAGCTCCCTGCAGAAAAGTTTGGATCCACATACACCTGTTTCACTTGGCAGGTTGCTCTGATTGCTGAGCTGCCTTTCAGAACTAAAAGCAACAGCAGATTTTTATGTGATTGAACAGAATGAAGTGACCTGAAGTGATGGCCTCTCCTGGCTGGAATCTTTAGAGAGACGTCAGAGTTTTTTGTTGTTGTTGATTTCAGGAGTGATACTCACAAGCTGTGATGTTTAACCAAGGAGTATTTGTTAAAAGACGAAACTCTTTAGAGGATCCAGTCTTAGAAAAATCACTAAGCTCTAAAGCTAGACCAAAATTTAAATCCTGCCTTCGCCAGGACTGGGGCTTGTCATTTTATCTCTGCGCCTCAGTATCCCTGCCTGAAAAGTACAGGTAGTTAATTCTACCTGACAGAGTGTTTATGAGGATTAAAAGATGTAATTTACTAAGATTTTAACACCATGATTCTTTCATAATAAGGATCACTAATATAGGGGGGGGAACCTCATTAATGATTATTAACTCAAAAGTAGGCATACTATTCAAAATTTGATAGCTCCCAAAATATAGTTTTTAAGCGATTATAACAGTACCACCTTTCTCCTTAGTTTCTTGAATTTTATCTGAAAGCAAGAATTAAAATGAAATCACAAAGAAACTTGACATGAATGAAGGAGCTGTAGACAGAAAGAAAAAAACTGAATTTGTACCCAACCAAAGAGACATAAATTTAGAGAATAGTCCTATGAAAAACACACTTATTTGTAGTTTAATTATCATAACATTGCAAAGTTATTATCTGCATCCATAATGTTGTGGGACATAAACTGTATGTGTTGCTGGCCATTTGAGCCTTCCATATACTAACTCCTCCCCCATGGAATATATGTTCGTTGGAGATATTAAGACAGAATTATAGACTTATTTATGTTATTAATCCTTTACTGTGAAAGAATTGATAGTGGCTTTAGAAGTTCTATAAAATATGACTAGGTGATAAAAATTTACCATAAGCTGAGTAAACCAGAAAGTTGAAGAGTGAGGACATGAGCCAGAGCTGAGTATGAAAACAGCACAAAATCAGCAAAATTCCTGTTTACCTATTAAAATTCCTAGAAGACAAAGGAAATCATCTCTAGTGTCATGATTTATGACGTCTGATGATTTCTGTTCCAAATGGGAAAAGCAAACGTGTTTTTTGGGAAGGATACAATTCCTGATACTAAGATGATTAGAAGTTTCCCTTGAGGGGTTCCATGAAGAAGCCACCTTATTACATATCATGGGGTTTCCTTGGTGGCCATCTAAGGGCAAACAGGGCTGCCATTGCAGCATCTCTCAATATAAGGTGATATTCTCACACTAATGTATAAATTCTGTGCCAGCAATCCTATAAGCAAGCGATAAGATAAAGTTCTGTTTGCAGTCTAGAGGAGCAGAGGTGTCCAGCATGGTCTTTCAACAACCGTGTGCAAATCACATTTCCCTCTCTGGGCTGAGCTTTCCTAGGCATTTGAGGGCACGGTTCCTGGAGCCCAGCAGTCAGATCCATGACAACAGGCAGCTGAGCTGGAAAGAGTGTTTTTCTTCCTCCAAAAACGGAGTGACCTGAAATTATATCTTTTAAGTAGCCTCTTTCCTTAAATTTTGCTACGTATACACTTGCACAAATAAGTGGTTCCTATGTGTGTGTGTGTGTGTTTCCTCCCCTCTCAGGCTTCACGTATTTCTACAAAGGAAAGGAGTATTGGAAATTCAACAACCAGATACTCAAGGTAGAGCCTGGATACCCCAGATCCATCCTCAAGGATTTTATGGGCTGTGATGGACCAACAGACAGAGACAAGGAAGGACACAGCCCGCCAGATGATGTAGACATTGTCATCAAACTGGACAACACAGCCAGCACTGTGAAAGCCATAGCCATTGTCATCCCCTGCATCCTGGCCTTATGCCTCCTGGTCTTGGTTTACACTGTGTTCCAGTTCAAGAGGAAAGGAACGCCCCGCCACATACTGTACTGTAAACGCTCTATGCAAGAGTGGGTGTGATGCAGGGGTTTCCTTCCCTTTCTTTCTTTTCCAGGAGTTTGTGGTAACTTGAGATTCAAGACAAGAGCTGTTATGCCGTTTCCTAGCTAGGAGCAGGCTTGGGGCAGCCTGTTCTGGGGCCGCCCTTTCAAAGCCAGAGGGTTGCTGGTCCTGCACATGAGTGGAAATGCACTCGTGGGAAGCTTCCATGATGCACAGTCTGCTGTCCCTCAGTCCTTTGTCTTTCCTTGTCATTCAGTTCTAGGCCTTTCCTCTGCACGCTCAATGCCCAGTAAATGTCAGGATTAACTAAAGAAGAGGAAAAAGAAGACAAGGTTCTTCTTAAAGGTTTCTAATACTATGTTCTTTTTTTTTTTTCTGAAGTCTGAGCCCATTTCTGAGGGGAAAAAACAAAATGGAAAAACCCACGAATTTTTGCTTTAAAGCAAAGAAAATTAAAAAAAAAAGAGGTTAAACAAAACACCCACAATTGAACTTTCAGGAAAGTGTGAAGACCCAAAACAGCTTTGTCTCCAAAGAAGATAGCTCTCTGACGGCTATGGATGGCCTCCTATGCTTCGCTTCTGTCAGGTGGGAGACCTGGAATACACATGTAGGACTTCAGACTGTTGGCACAGCCATTTCCAACCAACAAGGGGCCAAAATATCTGCAATATAGTAACAGCCTTAATAACACATCAAATTTTCGTTTTATACAGCTGGTTCTCAGCTATGTCCTGAATGTTTCATCACATTTATATTCACAGCCGTATTCAGGCAGGACCTTTGAATTGTTTTGAAGTGTTTCTAAACCCCTTCTGGCCACTTTCCCCTGCATCATTGTGATGACGCCCCAGATCGCATTAGGCCATCGCCCCAGGCCCTCCCTGGGTCTGTCAGGGATACCCGTTACAAGTGGAGCAAGAAGCAGTGTGTCTTGAAAGTGGTTTAAAGTGACAGTTACTTTATCAGGATATGTGGCACTAGTAATACATTGGTGTAACCCTTTGAGAACTATCAACCAGCTTTCAGAGTCTTAGGCTCCTCAGTCTTGCTAATCTGGTAAATTACAGAACTGGGCACTGGTGAAATCAGACACAGGTCCAAGAAGTCCAGGTTTTTAAAACAGATGTCCCATAACCCCGTGTACTTTTTAAGTGATTTACAGGACGACATAAATGCATTTATAACAAACAGAAATGATGTTACTTGCCAAAAATTTTCTGGCAAATAAAAAGGTATTTTATTAAATATCTTGTAAGAGTGAAATTTTCTTTGAACAACTGATGATAACAGCCTGTCCTTTTTGTTGTTGTTGTTGTTGTTGGAGACATTGAATTTCTGTTTTAAAATCCATTGCATGAACATTCAGTCCACCATGGTACATGCAGTTAGCACTGCCATCTTAAGAAAATGAATTCCAATGATGACTCTGAGGTTGCATGAGTGTCTTCCAGTGTATGAGCTATTACTGCATGTCAACCATAGTTCTCAAAGGGTTAGTGTGGCTTCTGGCACTTAGCCATCCATTTGATCACTGACAGAGCCGAGAGACCACCAAAGCATTTCGTTGTTGAGTGTGATTTGTCCTAACAGCAGTATTGTCATTTTCATGTGACCTGCAAAGCAGGTTTGGATCAATATTTTTTTCCTAGAGAAAAGTCAGCAACTGACAGACCTCTTTATTGGCTTTTAGGAGCTGCTTCTTGCAGTGAAAGGCTTTGCAGCCACTGGGCTGTGAACTTATTAGAGATGGTCAGGACGAATGCACCCCATGAGTCAGACATTGGCTTTGTGTGAAAGCCAGCTTTTGAGGGGATTAGCTTTTGAAACAATGAACAGCTTGCCTTGAACTTGATTATTGATCTGTTGACTGTCATTAACAACAACTTAAATATTGTCTTCTGTGAAAATTTTCCTTGAAGAGTCCTGTTCTGTGTCTTTGCCCTTTGACCTTTAACTTGCAAACTGGCACAAACTGAAGGAAATCTGGTGTTGCTTCTCCATTGGAATGTTAATTGTTCTCTGAAAACCTAGTCAGCATGAGCTGTTTCCTTAGAGTGGAGGGGGAATGGTGGTGTTGGTGGATCCTCAGATGAACACTTCGCTCTTTTCATGCACACTTTAAAAATGCCCTCTTGTTAGAACTGACTTTTAATTCCCCTTTAATATAATTTCAAGTCTAAATTCATCATTTTAGTACAAATATAAAACCATAGGGGGAAAAAAAGAAAACCTCAAAATACTTGAATGGCCAGTGTGGCTTTTATATAAAGCTGGAATTTTATACTAGTGAAAATTTCTTACTCGTTTGCTAATAATACACATTTCCAGATGATTTTTAATGAGTGTAGGTGTACATTCTTATTTGGAAATGGATAGTCTGGCTGCCTTGAATTTGTATTTATACTCAACAAAGCATGAAAATTAGAATGCCTTTCGGTAAAACTACATGTTTATGATTTGGTTGGGGACAATATTTTGTAATGATGGATGGCATGTTGCAAAGCCTTTCAGGTTGTTATTTCTTATAACCAGAACATATATAATGGAAGGCTAAGAACGAACAGGTGAAAAACAGGAATGACTTTACAACAAACCGTTACGCAATGCAGACTGTATTTTGACAGGATGATGGAGACGATGTATGTGAGGGCCAAGAAAGCAAGGGGTGAGGACCAGGATCAGCCCTGTAGCTTTACTTCAGTGCTTCCATTCGAGACGATGCTAGTGTTATAAAGAGTTAGTCACTTCTACTGAGCATGGAGGACCATATAATTAAGATCATTTAAACAATGTTTGCTTGTGGGAAGTTTTAATCTTTTTAGGACCTTGATGCCAAGGGGGGTGGGAAATGACTGGTAATCGTATTCTGCTAAATATTGAAATGAGGAAATATGCCTTTTTTGGGACACGTGCAAATCATGGTGGAATTCTATCCACCTGCATTGAAAATTGATTTTTTTTCCCTCTAAAATGAGAAAGAAACTAAAGAAGCAATCTTTTGCCTCTTAACTCATTTGTCACAATATCCTGATTCATCATAAGACTATGGGTATATAAGGGCTAGGAAATAACCATATGCATTACGAAAGGAAAGACTCTGTCATTATGCTTGAACTCTGAAAGGGTCATGGATGAGGGTTGGGCTATATTTACTTGAATATGAAATGAGATTTATGTGGTAAGAAAAGACATGTGTATGGCTTCTCTCTTTACTAGAACATCTAAAATTTCAGGTTGTGAGACTGCAAGGTAAGAAGACATTAAGTACAAATATTGGGATTCTATTTGCGTATTGTACACCAGGCACTTTCTAAGTATGGTTGCTGACTTTTCTTCCACTTGGAATTGGGGGAAAAATATGTCAATCGTAATGGAATAGTGAAAGGGAGAGTGACTAACTGGCCTGGCGCATAAGAATAGTGATTCAAAAACAATGTGAATAATAAATAAAATAATATAATGCACCAGTTCAGTATCAATATCACACAACCTATCAAATATTTTTCATCATCCCATCACTGACAGCATGGAAAGTTCAGACCTAGAGTTTCAGAAGTTGAAATGAAAACACATTCACAATCACAAAAAATAATTCTTCTTGTGTTTCATTATTTCTCATTACTTTAATATACACCCAAATGTAAACAAGGGAATGTTTTTAACATAAATTAACTATATAGTTTATAATTTTAGCCAAATATTATTGTTCTATATATTATTAACTAGACTGAATGAAGTATTAAAATAGCCCATCAGTCTGTATTCTCTATAAATCCACATTAGGCCGGTAGAGGAGGTTGTGAACTTAACCATTGACCTGTTTCAGAACAAAGTGTCTGCAACATGACATTTGAAACAGGTTAAATACAGATGATCTTTACAACTGCAAAGGTAACACGGATAAATTAAAGAAACATTATATGATCCTAGCAAAGAAAACTTCTGTTATAAATCAGAGGGCAAGGCTTTTCTGAGTCAGATCTAATAAATTACCAAGTAATAATTTACAAAAATAATTACTAAGTAATAAAGGATAGAGACTGATTTACTAAAACAAGCAAATGTTACTTTTACTATTCAGGTTGCTTGTAATCTTTTCCTATTGACACATAATTTGTCTGTTTCATATACTATATACTTGTTTTCATTCACTTTCTGTGGGTAATTAAAGAAACACAATGTGGCAGACAAGAACACTGCCCAGTTTCACTGGTAGTTCCACTACACGGATGAAGCATATATCCTGGATCCTAGGGATTGTAATATAATACTTCCAAGTGCTATGTCTTAGGCTGGTATCTCTAGGATGCTGCAAATGCACACCCACCCTTTGTGGCTCTTACAGCAGAATAACCAATGTGTCCAGATTGACTAAACTCAATGTGCTACCTGAAAAGGAATAGATGTTATGATCAAACAGACTGAATTAACACAAGAGTCATGAAAAAAATTTTTGTTCTTTTAAGTTTTGGAATTCTTTCCAGGAACTAATAAAGGCAGTGATGGACTGACAGCACTGAGTCTGTGAGATTGTAGCAGAAACTGAAACAGCCTTGTGGATGGTGGTAAAATCTTTTCCAGCAAGTAGAGCAGAGAGTTCATTTCATTTTTGATGCTCTCAAGAACGCATTCTGAAATGTCACAGATGTCAACCAGAAGGTGCATCTAAACCAAAAATGTTAAATTCAGATGAGCTATTACAAATAGCTGTGCGTACAGTCTTATGCTATCACAAAAGATTTCATGTCCATAATACTAGAGAATCTAACCATTCTGTTGCATCTCATGTACGTTCCTGGCTGATTTATTGTGACTGCAGGTTATAACTGCCAGGGCATGTGTATCTATGTTATAGATTCTGTGTTGCCTAGTAGGGTACCATAATGACACCATAAAAGTCGTATTTAAAAATTAAAACTTCAAATAATAAAGAATGCAGCAGCAGGCATAGCACCACACCATAAAGAGGAAAACTAAATGTTGTATTTCTTGTTATGGAAATGAAGGAAAAGGAAAAATGAGTCTTTTGTAAAATATAAAAATATACTATAGCATTCCTTAATACAACTGGACATTTTCCTTTAGCAAGTATGAAAATTGTAGAAAAAATTCAACTTCAAACTCTTCACGCTAGTGATGAGTATGTGATGCATCATTGTATATAATTAGTGGTCGTTAGCTGTTACCCTGCGTAAACACATCTGATATTCATGCACTGCCTTCTAGGCTGAAAGTGTCGAAGTTAGATGCTCAGTAACCTCGACTGGAAAGATATATATATATATATACATATATATATGATATATATATAACAGTTTATATATATATGTTGTATATATATAATGTTAGAATCTCCTGAGAAAAGCCATTTCCCTAGGATAGAAATTTACCTCAGTAATCATATAACACAAAACACTTGGCAGAATAGCAAAGAAGTTGCCTTAGCGTTCTGGTCTCATCTGGTCATAACCTTTGCCTTCGATCACTACTCAAATCATTTTTCACTTGTTTCCTTTGGTGTAATTTTTGAAATGATTATGATATAGTTCAAGTAAGATTAATAACATCTGATTGCAAATATCTCTTTCAACATTTCATACATGTATCTACTTTGACATTTAAACCAATAGTATATAAAGCCTAAGAATGAACACTGATCTGACAAACGCACAGAAATTGAGTGAAAAGCAGATGTGAATTGTAAAATTTCTGTCAATTTTCTGGTAGAATACTGAGGCGTCAGCCTTCAATTTTTAAACACAGTTGTGAGCTTATAACTGGATAACAGGCATCATGTTTTACACCAATGCGAGTTCTTTATGCTAAGTAAGGGTATAAGATCCTGAGTGCTGTAGTTCAGCACGTCACAGGTACTTGTAACTAAAGCTCTTTAAGGAAAATGAGGACATAACCAGTAATTCATGGCCAGTGCATAATAAGTATAAAAAGTTATGTGTGGAAGCTAGTTCTGAAGATTTCTGAAAATTCTATGCCTTTTCTCTTTAAGGAGCAGCGTGTCTTAAAAGGTATCTTCCTAACATTGGACGGGGAATAACGTTCAAGTTTGCACTCAAGTCCTTACTTTCCATAGCCCACTGGACAGAGCAGGACAAAGACGTCATAAACTGAGACGTTGTGCTGATTTGCATCACTTTGCCACATGCTCTGCTACAGAGCTATTTATAATGCCCTTTAAGAAGGGAGAAGAAAATCAATTAAACATAAATATGAAAATACGATAATCA